TATATATATATTATTTTTTTACATAATGGCTAATATGATAAGAAAAAAATTAATTAAATATTTATATTATTAAATTATATTATTAAAGTGATTAATATATTGAACTCAATATCCAAGTTTTATCCTTAAAAGAGTTTTTTTATTAAATTTTACTTATCTCACTATTAAACTAATTAATCTAAGACAAAGGCTTAAAACATGGGTGAAAAAATATTTATTTTAGTTTTTTCATTATAATTAACTGTCTTGTCAAATTTTCATACTAATTAAAATTATTTTTCATATTTAAAAGAATTAAAGATAAATACACCGATTGTTAAAACCTTAATTATTTTCACAGTTAGCCTCTTCAAACACGAGGGAAAACAGAAAACTGAAAAGTCTTTATGCAGTTAAACCTTACCAGCAAGGAATTATATATGCTTATAAACAAAAATGGTTTTAAAAAAAAGGTAGGAACTTAGAAACAAGTTGTGACCTTAAAAATTATTAGTTACTCTCAGACAGCACTATATAATCCTATAAAAAAGTAAAGTTAATTTTAATCTTGGTTAATATAATTATACAGCTATAATCATAATCTTGGTTAGTTTTCTCGTAATATATAAGATTTTAATATATATAAAGTTAATAGTAGTAACGGTTAATTACTGTGAGAAGATTAATAAAGAGAATAATAATCCTGGAATATACATAATAATTTGTCTACCTTCAGGCTGAATGCAGATCCTCTGATGTGTCTCTCCAGCATAAACATTGGCAATTGATAAAATTCTCTCTTAAAATATGCAAAATAACCGATTCATGGTTAAGATATATGTTGTAAGAGATGGAATTGCAGTAGAGCAATTTGGCTGGAGAGGATCCTGGTGCGAAAAGATAATGGCGAACGTGCAGCTAGCTACAGCAAGTTTCAGTGCGAAAATAAACCTAAACTTTTTGAATAGTTTTTGAAAAACAGAAATGATAGGTACACGGTTAAAGAGAAAACAAATGAAAATCAGAAAAAGAAAAGTCTGCATGTCTGTCTGCAACACTGTGGTCTGCGACGCAACAGGCAAACAGTGTACGAGCGAGCTTTGCCGCGTGAAACGGCCACTCCTAGTTTAAGATTACTTTCTCGCTTTTTCACACATGCAATCGATGAATAATTAGTAGTATTTGAAACGATAAATGGAAGAAATAGTGAATTAAGCAAGAGTGGAGAGAATTGGAGTGAAAGTCCGTAGAGCAATTAATAATGGAGTAGGCGGTACCTAGTCTTGAACAAACAACGTCATAAGGAACATAAAATAGTGGAGTGATATGGCGATGGCTGAATCAGAGCAAAAGCAAACACTTTTGGATGATGAATCTCCTTGAGTCCAGAAGCAAACAAGGACATTAATATGAGAGAGAAACGAGAATAAAACTAGGGCGGTGTTAGGGAATAGGGAGGAAAAGACGAGAAATGTGAAGGAACACAGCAAAGTAGTAGTAACTTAATTTGCACTTGCATTCCTCGCACGTTAAATACAAACTAATAATAATGTTGAAATTATTCTCCTCCTCAGTCCTCACCAACACTTGCAACTTCACTTTTCTACCTTTCTCTTGATTTGCTTGATTAGGAGAATTCGGAATTGGCAATTATTGTGGAGTGGTTGGATCCATTCCCAGCTGAACGTTGCTCGGAATTAGCTAGTACACATACATAACCGGAGATGTAAGAATTAACCCTATATAGCTAGATCTCCATTAGATAACAGATTAAATCTCCAAGCATGGCTAAAAATTGAAGAATGGACAAAAGTGAATAGGTTAGGGTTTCTTACCGAGAGTGTGTTTGTTGTTGTGCATCCAAACCTTGAGGACGTGTCTCTTGACAGAATTTTCAGCACAGAATTGCTCCACAGCAGCTTCGTCATGCTTCTGGATTCTCCACCCAAGCTTCTCCGCAAATGCCAGCATCTTATCCTTTTGCTCCTGCGTGAACTTTGTCCTAAACCTCTTCTTCGTTCCGCTCCCGCCACCAACTCCTCCGCCGCTGCTGCTCGGGTTTGACATGTCTTCTTCTTCTCTACTGAACACTCCTCCCGAGGCCAGCGGCGGCAGAGCCAAGGGCCGGTGCTGCGACACCGGCGGAGTTACCAGGGGGTGGTGGAGATATCCCGCGCCAGCATGCGGCGGCCCGCGGTGGTAGTAAGGGGAGAATTGGTGGTGGTACTGCGGCTGCGACCGCGGTTGCTGGTGGTAAGGGCTGATTTCGCCGTCGATCTCCTTCCGGTGGAAATTGCGGTGGCAGTTACAGGCGGCGCATATGACGGCCTCCAGCGTGCCTTCCTCTCCGGCGGCCAGAAACTCGCAGCAGCCGTCGACGGCG